ATATATAACAGTAATATTGGATATATAAACAATTTAGAAGGAATGAGAAATAAAATTTATATTTAAAAGAATCAAAATGTTAATAATAATATTATATGAATAAAATAAAAAATATAATATCTTACAAAAAAAATGCAATATTTTCACATAACTTAACAGTTATCGAATTCATACCTTTTCTCTAATCCTTTCAATAAAGTTTTGTCCTTACCACACATTCCAAAAAAAAAAATAAATTGAACCATTAATAATCAAAAAAAATAATACATAAATTTTAAATAGATAAAGTTACAAAATTCTTTTAAAAAAATAATTATCATATCTTCTATAAAAAAATTCGTAAAAAAATAATAAGATTAATAAGGGAAGTAGTTTATACAACAATATACATATTTTAGATTAAGGTAAAAAAAGATATATAAAATAAAAACGTAATATTATATTTAGATACAATATGAAATAGAAAACAAAAAAGAAAAAAAATTGGAACTCACCATATTAATAAAATGAAATTGAAGAGATGAAAAAGAGAATATAATATATTGGTGTAGAGAAATGTTAGGGTTTATATATAGGTGAGTAGGAAGATGGAAGGGTATTGTATATAAAAAAGAAGAAAACCAAAAGGTTAGAAAAAATTGTAATCGTATAAATATTGATTATGCCATGCATTACAATCCTATGCATTACAATCCTATGCATTTATTTTTCATAAGTTTTAAGTAACTATTCATCTTCCTTCATTTTAACGCATTATATTATATTATATTATGTATGTAATGAAAACTAATAATTATAAAATAACTAAGAATATAAAGATAAAAAGCAAAAGACAAAGAATATAAAAAGATAAAATTGGAACTCACCATATTAATAAAATGAAATTGAAGAGATAAAGGGAAAAATATAATATATTGGCATAGAGAAAAGTGGGCAAAAGCCTAAAAATAGCCCCTTACCTTAGTAAGTTAGACGGTTTTAGTCCTTCACCTTATAATATAACAGTTTTAGCTCCTAATTTATAAAAATAGAAGAAAATAGCCCTTACCTTTGACTTCCGTCCACCGTCTGTCACCTTTGTCATTTTTTTCGTTATATTTCCGTTAACTTTATCCGACTTATACCTATAATAAATAAAAAAATGGGAAAGCTTCTCCAAGAAGCCTGATGCTTTTTTTTTTTGGGAATTCCAACCTTAGGTGTTTATGTGCACATTTTGATATCTTGGGTATTTATTTGTACATATCTAAAACCACAAGTATGTTATATGCACATTTAAAAACCCCAAATCTTTATGTGCACCTACCTCAAACTACAGGTAGTTAAATCATAATTTCCCCTATTTTTAAATAATAAGGGCTCATGTGTACAAAATTTTTTTTCTTTTTTACCTTGATTTGCAAGCGAAGAGGTAATCATTTTTTATCTTCTTAATTCATTTAATTGACATATCATAAAATTTAAACTCAAAATTTTTTATTTTTATTAAAAA